AGGTTTCACTTCAGCTTGATAACAGTTCAGAGATTTAAAACCCTTTCACCTTCCTCATAAAAAGGAAAACAAAACCAACTCCCTCCCCCACCCCTTATCTCCTCACGCCAGAGTCTCTGGAGCAGATCTGGTCAAACAGACCAGCCCAATCAGGTCCTCACACGGCTCTGTTTCTGGGAAGTGGATGTGCTGTCCATTGGACAGAGGAAGTGCCAAGCCTTGGCAGGTTCCCTACTTATTTGCAAGACATAAGCTGCTGGCATGGTGTCAGATGTGCATGCAAGAAAGCTGGATGCCAGTTAAGACCTATAGTCCTGTTTGTTTCATGCACTGTGAACTTATCCTATATACACTACGGGCTGGTTTATGCTTGAAGACATGAATATAAAGGTATACATTTTCCTTTTATCTTAGTAACCAAAGCTTTACTTTCACCCGTGGAATAGCAGGGGTTTGCTACCAGGGCTCTTATTTTCCTCTTCTGCTCTTTCTCTCTTCAGTTCTCAATACTGAAGGTGAAGGGGGATAGGAGGGGGACAGGTAGGATTACAGTCCCAAGGTCCTAGTTCCTAAAGGTCCCTGAGTGACAGCACTATACAGTATCAGAATATGAAGCAATAGGGTTGTGTTGGCCATTTATATCCTGAGAGAGATTTCACTTCTATTTCTCCTTTTCCTCCTCCTCCTCCACATGCCTGCATTAGGCTGTTATGCATGGGAATGGTGCAAACATTCTCCTCCAGCCCAGCCCCCTCAGGCTGCCCGGAGTTTCCCTCATGCTCAGCTTACATTTTCTGACAAAAAACACAAGACCCAACAGACGGCAACCCTGTCTCAAGCAGCAAACAAACCGAGCTTCATTCAGAACTGCCTTCTGCACCACTGCAGCAAAAGCCAGATGCAGCTCCATTTGGAACAGCACTCATGCTTTTTCCTCTCCACTGCTCTCCCTTCATGAAGAGAAGGTGGTCAGCATCATGCACACAAGCTACAGAGTGGAAATCTCCTCCAGCTTTCCAACAACATTATCTTTGTACCCACCCAATTAAAGGCTCATGTCTTTCCTTATGTTTATGACAGCCTGAAACCTCTCAGCTGGAGTTTAAGTAAAACTCGTTTTTTCTCCACTGTCTCCTTTCAGAATCACCGGACCCCGAAACAACCCTTGGATTTGTTGCCTTTCTTAGGGTGGACACAGATTGCTATGGAGGGGGAAAATGGAGGTACCACCTCTGTCCTGGAGGAGGGCATTTCTAAAGGCCTCCAGCATTCTTCCCTCCCCCCTGTCCAGGACCACATATTCTATTACTCATCTGACTTACAGGACTCGGTTGTTCTCCATCCTGCCATGTCACCAGAAATTATAAGGCAGTTCCTGAACTGTGAGAAGTCCTGACCGCACACTCTTTGGCAAAGATTATTGTGTAGGACTGAAAAGTCCAGATGTCTGGATATACGAAGACAGACTCTATGAAATAAAACTGGCCTGGCAAGGACAGGCCAGAAACATTCAGAGAGAAACTAGAATGACTCTGCTAAGAAAGAGAACCCAGCCAACAGAGAACCGAGGCAATAGCAAAAGAGTCTGGCTCCAAATCCCAGCAGGTGAAGAAATCATCTGAGCAGTGCTTTTTCCCTGGAAAGCTTTTGGATTGTCGCTATGAAATTCTGGGCTCAATCTCTGATTGAAGCCTTGAAAAGTAAAAACAGACCCTCCCCCATGCCTTATCTCCAGCTGCTGGAGGCCCCGGGCTGTACCTGCTGTGCCAGACGGGGTTGGTCAGTGGCTTGCAGGAACCCCTTCCATGCAAGACTTACTGCCCAAGCAGCAAAGAGCAGAGGTGGGCTTTTAATCATATCAGTGTGCTGCTGCCAGTGCTGGCCCTTGGGAGCAGCTGAGGGCACACTCGGGTGCCTAATTCCTACCACAGATTTGTCAGGCTTCTACTACAGCTAGCAAATTGCTGGAGATCCTGAGTCATCTCCCTTGGCTTCTTCATTTCTTACCATGTGGCTATTTGTTCCCCTTCCAGTTTTAGTAGGCATCGTACAACTGCCTCTTTTTTTTTTTTCTCTTCTGTCATTCTGACCACCCTTTACATTGCAACCCCATATATAAAGGGTAAGTGTTTTGATATTGTATTTACTGACCAATCAGCCAGTTAGACTTCCCTGAAAGGCCAAACCTGCTGATAGGCAGCCTCCCTCTGGCACATGTATTACCACATTATACTGCTGATGTCATAAAATAGAACTTTATGATTTCCATTACAACTTTTAAAAGCCTTTTCCAAATTGAATCCCACTAGAAAGTGTAACAGTCTCCTCTGGACAACCTTTAACTTTCCTGCACATCAGACAGAAGAAACTGCCTGATTCAGCTACTAGTCCTACTGTCCAGTTCTGTTCACTCTTCAAATTTAACTGCTGTACAGATCCATGTCAGCAATAAACTGCAGCATCAAGAAGACCTGTTTTCAACAGCATCACTCCTGAATGTGGAAACCAGCAAGAGACTGTTCTGTAGGGAAGTTAAGCCTGATTTAACAGTTGTGCTAAAACCTTGGTGAGCCCAGAAGGGCCTGGACTGAATGTGTGCATGCATGAAGATGGCAGAGGGAGACAGAGATTGGGGATGAGTGAGAAGGATGGATGTTCTACTTTATGCTTCGGAGTCTACCAGCAGAAAACGCATAAAGCACATTACTAATATAAAAATAGCAATACTTATCACTCTGATGAGCCCTGATCCTGCTTCCTCTAAGTCAAGGCAAAACTTTCCATGACTTCATTATTACTAGGTCAGGCCTATAGTAATTCACATTTTCATAGCACTGTACAGACACAAATTAGTAAATGAAAAGATGTGCATTAGATGCATCTGTTCTCTGACAAACAGGAGTTTCCCTGGTCTCAGAAAATCACTTTACTCTCCTGAACAATTAGAACTTAAGAAAAAGGAAGAGGATGCTAGCAGGAAAGTAAAGGGGTATTTGGATTCAAGGCAGTGTGTGTGTGGCTGGCATGTGAAAACCTCCATCAGGTAAGATGTTATGTCATATGTCATAATTAGTCCATGAATGGTAGAATGACCCAAGGGTTAAAGTTTTGCACTTGTGAATTTATTATTTTCATGGCTTTTGTTAACATTGTAAGGGAGATTATCAATCATCAGTGATTGCCCAAGTGGCCAGTAATTCAGTGATTTATCTGAAAGTCACTGGCTCCTTTGGAAAAGGAGTGGCCTTTTGCACCTTAGTAACATGTGCCTGCAGATGGAAGCTACTACAGACTTAAGGGCTTCCACAGCACTTTCATTGCAACCTTCACTGTGCCCAGTCTTTGAAGACCACTGTCTTCCAGAGGGATCATGCTCCATACAACTCTATGCATCCTTAGTTGCATTTTCTGCAGGAAGGGACACAAGGTGCTCTTCTCTGCATGGTTTAACTGATACAAAGCAAGGCCATATAAAGCAGAACATATTAGAGGGTGGTAGATCACCATTTGCTTCTGAAGCTCTTAGGAAAGGGAATAGTTATCGTTTCTGGATATTTTCATCCTGAAATATAACAGAGTTAAAAAACCTCTTCCCCTTCCTGCACCTTGCTGTAGGCTATGGTCATTTGGTGGGCTGGAGTATGAAGTCCCTTGTCTGGCACAAAGAGCAGGTAGAGAGTGGAAATGGCTGAGTTTTCAGAATCCTGTAACTACTTTTCTCCCAAAACTCAGTAAGAAAGATGCAGAGTGGAAATGATTAGGAACAAGCCCTATTTCAGGACTAAACCAGCTTAGATCAGATGCCAGCAGTGGACAGTGGCATCATCCCATTGCTGATTCCCAAAACCCTCTCTCTCCTCAGCAAGTGTATTTGCACAATCTATTGTCCCCAGCCTCGTGTCTCTAGTACAAGCTAGGACTCCAAGTTCTCAAAGTTGCAATAAGCAAACAAAACCCTGCTATCCCCCCCAAGAACATTGCCAGTTAAATGTCATCTGTGTTCTCTTTCTACAAAAGACATTACAAAACCCCCCTCCCCTGCTCCCTTCCCCAGAAAACATGCTTGCACACACACATCCACATCCACACACACTCGCAGATGCACACACTCATTCACACAGGAAAAACAGCTTGCAAACTCCTGAAGGTGGAAAAAGGCAACTTGCAAATGTGCCTTTGCTTTTGATAAGCTCCCTCCTCCCACCCCCCCTATGCCCCATATTGCCCCTTCCCTCCCAAATAATTGCCCTGTCCTCCCCCCTTCCCAGCTCTTCCAAAATAAATATTCTTTTTATTTGTTGGTTTAAAAGATTCTTTTAGGCTTGTAAGCAAGAGAGAGGGAGAGAGAAAAAGAAAAGAGAAGTCTCATAGCATGAGAATGAAACCCCACTATCTCATGAATCCATGAAGGAATAAAAATGAAGGGGTTAGGAACAGTGACAGAAGAAAGATTAAAAAAATATAATAATACTGAGAGGAGAAAGATGAAATTATGAAATTCAGTAGTGAAATGGAAGTGAGGATAGTGCATTAGTGAGCACAGCCAAAGATAACCTATCCCCCCACACCAGTTTTTAACTCAATTTCTTTATGTCTCCCTCCCCCCTTTTTTAATACTTTTTTCTTTTTTTTTTTTTTTTTATTTTTTTTTTTTTTTTCCATTCCTTTTTTTTTTTTAACCCGTTTTTTTTTTTTTTTTTTTTTTTTTTTTTCCCCACAATGGTGTAAGTCCTTCAGCAGGAAACCAAAATTAAGACAAACACATCCCTCCCTGAAATCAAATCCCCTCCCGTATACCTTTCTTTCCCTTTTCCCCCTCCCCCCAACACTCTGTGGTTCTATATGTGCTGAAAAGAGAAGAGTAAGCTTAGAGTAAATCTAATGAATCAAAGGAATAAATGATGATAGTAAAGAGTAAAACCCAAACCCAAAAGACCACAACACTCCTGTGTTGTCATTGTCTGAGTGTCTGTCCCTATCTCTCTTGGAGGCTGCAGGCATCAATTTACATAGTACAACCAGTAAACAAGGTTGAAGAATCCAAAGGTGATTGGAAAAATGATTCTTGACCACTTGTCAATGGTGCTGACATCTGTTAGGTCTGGGATTTTGAGCTTCAGCTTAGATGACCGCCGACGGAGACGGCAGTTGGCACGGTTGCGGGCTGCGGCATGGTGGGTCAGCGGGACATGGCGGTCCAGGGTTGGGTGGTGACCAAATCCATCCCGGGAGGCCAGCTGCTTGCGGAACTGAATTCCTGAGCCTTCAAAGGACATGACAGAGTTTCGAGAGTCGCCAACGCTGCTCATCATGTCCGTGGCCAGCAGCTCGTTGTTCATATCCAGAGTGCTGAGGAGGATGTTACCATAAGGGTCAACCTAGAACAGGGGAGACAGAGAGAAAGATAGCAAGGATGTCTTGTGCACTGTTTGCACAGCCACGCCACCAGGGATGATTTTGAACTGCTTTCTGTATATCGATACTGATCTTTGGGTTGTAAGTGGGCTCTGAACCTGAACTTCTGCATTTGCAAAAGTCATCCATTGATGTTGGTTGCTCACAGGCTGGAGCCTGTGCTTGCAGCAAACTTGCAAGTTGAGTAATGTATTTGTGCTAACAGAGTAGGACCAAAAGCCACAAGGGTACCTTGGGATACACCTGCCCCTGCAAGAGGGTGATCCTGATGAAGCTGGCTTGAGGATAACGACCAAATGATCAAGGAGAAAAATTCCCAGTGAACACTGGAAAGAGATCCTTCTCGGCATCTGTCTGCAAACTTCCATAGGTCTATGTTTATCAGACAAGGGAACTGGAGTTTCTTGTGGTGAAGAGATAGGCTGCTCCACAGCTCATCCAGGACTGAATGAACAGTGGAGAGTTTGAATTCTCCTACCACAATGAAAGAAGGAAACAAACCTGCTCTCTCACCCTCTTTTCTTCATAACGATGGCGCTCATTGTTGGCCTTGCTGATGCGTTCACTCTGTTTCTTCTGCTGTCGGGGGCCTCGTCCAAAGAATATGTAGTTGACAAAAGCATATTCCAGGAGTGCCAGGAACACAAAGACAAAGCAGCCCATGAGGTAAACATCAATAGCCTTGACATAAGGGATCTTAGGGAGAGTTTCCCGCAGATGAGTGTTGATGGTAGTCATTGTGAGTACCGTGGTGACCCCTGTAAGGAGAGGGTAGGTGTTCTGTTATCAAGGTGGGGTGGTTTCCTGAAATGCCAATCTCAGGTTTCCCATCCCTTCTCCCATCTGGGCTGAACATCAGGAGGGCTGGAAGCGGCAAAACTGGGAAGAAAATTGTCATTATTCTAAGGTCAACTGCCCATTGCAGAAAACAAACAAGCTATCAAAAGTGGGAGAAAATGCAAAAGCTCAATAGCATCAGGACAGTGTGGATCAATGTTCTGTGAATCTCAGTTCTCTGAGTCCTCCCTGATCATCCTTCTTTCACTCACTGTGATAGGAAATACACAGTTTTGCTTTCAGTCTCTCAAATTTTCTCCTCCACCTTTCTTACTTCATGAACTCATCACAATTCCCTGTGCACTATTGAATGCCTCAATATCCTTGACATGAATTTCTAATATGCTATGATTTTCTAATGCCATAAATATGAGAAGGAGATAAGAGACTCCCACTTCATGACTCTCTCTTCTTTTACCCGCCTCAAGGCTTCTATCTATTTCCTTGACTCCATCAATTCCTACCTTTCTCTCACCAGCTTTACCACCCACTACTTCAATTATCTGAGCTTCTTTCATGGCTCTCATGTTCTCCTTTTTTATGTCTACTCATATTTCCTGCATCTTAAATAAACCTTTATTTGACCATCTACACGGTCTACTTGGTGCATCATGATTACGCTCTCAGCTTCATTCCTTTCCTTCGTTCTTAGCCTCTGGCCTTCACAGGCCTCTCAGAATGGCCGCAGATTTGTCTCTTCAGCAGTGCTTCAGAAAGTTGCAACTGGGCTTCATACTTCTTTTGGAGGAGAAACTCGATTGCCTTGACCTGGTCTTGTTTTCCCTCTTCTCAATCTCAGCTGCCATGTTTTTGTTACTACCTTGCTGATTTCCTTTTCCTCAAATGTCCTTCCTCCTCTTCTCTGTTGGCAGCATTCCAGTCCAAGTTCTTTGTCTCTAGCTCTCTTATTCTACATGATTTTAATTTCATTTTTTAGCCCTACCTCTACTGTGATTGCTCCCACATCTGTCAGTGCATCCTGGAGTTGTGCTTGTCCTGTTTCCCTATCAACTTCATTGTTTTTAGTGTCATTTAGTAGTTTAGTTTAGAGATCTAATAGTCTTCAGTTCACAGAAGTGTAGACAGACGGAAGATACAACAATAATTTTTGAATACCCAGAAGTCTGGTAGAAGTTAAGGGGGAATAAAATGTTCTCCGTGTCCACCAAAGACAGACAAATTGCAGCAGAGATTTAGAACACAGGAAAAGGAAGGATTTCTGATTGTATGAGCAGGCAAATCCAGAGGAATAGTGGTTAGAGGAGGCTGCAGATTCTCCTTCTTTGAAGGTTCTTAGGATCAAGTTAGAGAGCTATCAGGAATCACTTGATGAGAGCTGTTCCAGTTTTGATCTACAATGTTTTTTCTTCTGTTTTCTCCAGATGTCAGCTGAAAATCAACAGCTGTGCATCTCAAGTCCACCCTTGTTTGTACTCTCCCTGTGAGAGTCTACTCTATCTGCTATGTCTAGCAATGTCTATTGTGGTCTCTTTTTACTCTCACTTATAATACTCTTGTCGTTGCAACTTACCTTTTCAATTTACTGTGTTCCTCTTTTCCCTTCCTTGCTCCAGACTCTCCAAACAAGCACAGACAAATCATTTCTTTTATATGTGTTTGTACAAACCACCACTGCTCTGTCTTCTCCTAAAGCTAATTTAAGCCCCCAGCCTTCTCTGTAAAACCCAACCTTTACCTGTGCTCCATTCCTTATCAGAGCCTTTTCCCCACCACAGCTGAAATCTTCCCTCCTTGTCTCTCCTATTTCCTCTGAACTTTCTATCATGTTGCATAGCCCCAATCTGATATGCCAGCCACCCCACTTTTCTCCTGTTCCTTCTTCAAAATCCTTATCTGCAATCCACCCCCACTTCCCTTCTGTTGCTTAAAAGATCTCTTTTTTTCCTCTTGTAGGAAAACATCCCTATTTAGGGGCGCATATGTTCAAGAAAATCTTTTACTTTACTGTCCCACATTTGACTTGGTTATGAAGGTCTTCAGTCACAAAAAAGTGTCTGTATTGGGCCTAAAATATCATGAAATTGTGTAATGCCACTTTCTTTATCTCTCCTTACAATTTTTGCCATTCACTCACCATTCTTACTGCTCTTTGTCCATCCACTCTCAGTATTTATCATCCAACTAACCTGCTCTCGGCACACCTGTTAATCAAGAGATGCCCAGACTTATCTGCTTAAGAAAACAAGTACAAACTGCAGTGAGGGAGCTGGTGCGTTCATAGCATGTCACAGTCTCATGCTTCTGAGAAGCTGTGACCATTTATACCTTTGTATATAACAAATTTCCCACAGAAATCTATAATATAACTTTTACTGATTCAAATAATACAGACTCAAGCTTGGGAAACATCAGTATTTCCAAAAAAACCTTCAGGCTGAAAACCTGCAGTTTATTCTCCAAGGAAATGTCATTCTTTTGGGATGACAAATTTGATCTGTCTTGTTTAGATGCTACCTCATTAAGAAAAAGATATTTTCTTAGAACTGTCCTGTTTGATTTCCCTCAGATATCATATTCTTCAGTGTATAATGAGAAGGTACCTACCCAGTGCCACTCGTGCAGCAGAAGCATCATAATTGATCCAGAAGGACACCCAGGACAGAATGGTGATGAGGATAGATGGCATGTAAGTCTGCAGGATGAAGTAACCAATGTTCCTCTTAATTCGGAAACTCAAAGATAAGCGCAGGTATGAGCCTGTCAATGAGATATTAAAGGGAGATCTTGTCTGAGAGGAAAGCAAAGTTGTGTTTTTAGTAGGAGCTTCTATTTGGAAAATGTTCTCAAGAGGCAGTGATAATGAGGAATCTCTCCTCTTTTTTTTCCTTAGATTTTACAGCCTCATCAGAGAAGAGGATTTCTTTAGAGTCTGCTCAATTGGCTAGGAATATTAGGAAAAAAGGGAGCTCTACGCAAGTTACAGTGTTGTATCAGACATCATGGGAGAACGTCTGTTCAGTCCTCTGTTGAAACTGCCTTTATGGTATGTGCCAGTAAGATTTGGGCTTGCATGGGAGACTTCAACCCTATACCTGGATGCAGTAAGATCATTTTCCATTGTTTCATGTGCTAGTTTTTCCTCCAAACAGCAATGAAGATATGAATAGTATTTTTCCCATGCTTTCTAAAACTGGGTTATGATCAGACTGGGCAAATTCATACACAAATAGAGTACCATTGGTTAATCTGTAGATCTTTTTTCTTGTTCAAGTTCCTCCTAATCTTTTAGGAAATCTAATGAGGATAGTGACAAGAAGTACTTTTACAAATCTTCTACTGGAGCATGGTATTTTGACAGGACAAGGCAGCAACCCTCTCGTTACTGTGAAACAAAGTCCAAGCCATTCCTCCTTTTCACCTCCTTCCCTAAGCAACACAACAGACTGAAATATGAGTGTAGTTGTGGGTTGGCAGCTAAGCTAAGAAGAGAACAACAGTCTGTAATGATCAGGGAGGAAGACTGGGAAAAGGAGGTTGTATTTTCTCAGCACTGTGTATCATGTATGCAGTTTGAATGTTTTCATTCACCAATCGTTTTTTTTAAGGTCATATCTTTATCCATATCCATGTCCATCCAGATTGCAAAGTTCTTTTGGAAGGAACATGGCTTCTTGTTGATGTCTAGATTACTGATGCAATGGGACCCTGCTCCTGGCATGTCCAGTGAGGTACCACTGCAGCAATCCCCATCTGCCACTGCCATGGACAGACTGTTCTTGCTGTTACTTCACGGCATTTCAGAAATCATCCAAGTTAACATGTGTGGCACTTCACTTAGGCAGTGAACTCCATACCATTTCAAAATGAAGTCAGCAACCAAAATCCAAACCCTGAATTGTCCAAGGTGTTCTCTTCAGATCCTGTTATTGCACTGTGCAGATGGGCCATAGACCACTTATTGTTCAAGAGAAATATTCTGCTTCTTACAGTTGCACCTACATTGACCTTGAGAGCCAGTTTTAAACCACATAAACACAAGATAAAGGCTGAGAACCTTCTAAGGAGGTTCTGTTTTGGATTTAGCTGGTGTTTCAACTAAGAAATGAAAACAACTGTAATAAAAATGATTCCACAAGTCTTTGAAGAGTCAAATTTGGTGGGTAGAGAAGACAGCTCTTTTTCAAATGAATAGGGCCTGAAGCCTAGAACCTAATTTAATACCTCAGAATCTAAATCAGATGAGAAACCACATTGACCTGGATCAACAGAAGATTTATGAATTCCATCACATCTCTTGGGCAGAGACTCACCGGTGGTGAAGACCACTTCCCTGCTGACCAGTCTCTGCTCGATAATGGTGAACTGGGGCAGTTCTAGCACCTCCATCCCTGTGACAGCAGAATCATTTCCTTGCCAGAAGAAGACAATGTCATCAACTGTGTAACCATCTGCAGAGGTGGAAAAGCACAGGGAGAGAACTGAGCTGACAAGCTGCATCAAATGACTCCCCCATTTTCTCTAAGGTGATTTGGAAGAAGATATGAAAGAAAGCCCACACCACCAGACAGCAAGCACAGCCCCTCCTGGCTGACGTCATTTGCTTCAACTGAGCTGGGCAGTACGCTCCCCAGGAGAGGAAAAAATTGGTCAGAACTCCCCCTTCTGGCTAGGATTCAGGAAAAAAAGGTGGGATGTGGTCCATCATGTCTTGACTCGTGCTGCATAATCTCCATGGCTAACATGACAGAGAGTTGTGCATCGGAAGCTGCTATCACAAAACATTGCATTTTGCTTTTTAAAAGCTGCCTCCTTTTACCAGAAGGGGGAGATCACAATACATTCTGATGAGACCAGGTAAACAGAGCCTCCAAGTATTAAAGATTCACAGAGAGAAAAAGATTTTTTTGAGAAGAAATGTGAGCATCAGTACATCTCTCTCTTTTAAATACCCTCAGTCACAATTTGGAAGCACACAGAGCCTCTGAGACCGGGGACTGCTTTTGCCAAGCTCTAGCTGGAAAGAGCACTGAGGGAAGAAGAAAGTAGGCGAAATCCAGCTGGTGACAAATGCTCATTCCTTATTTTTCACGGTAATGGATTTGTTCAGAGGTCAACTGAGCTGAGGGCATAGCCTTAAGCTTTTCAACCCCAAACAGTACAAGGCAGGCAGGGCTGCACAGGCTGTAGGTACTGAGAAGCTATATCCCAGCTATATCCCAGGTGCTTCAGCCTCATTTGGAGCAAGGCCTGGGCAACGAGAACATGCAGCTCCTCTCACATCAGTGTGATGATCACAACCCTGCCCATTGCACTTGTGTGCAAGGATTGATCTCCGCTTATAATCCAGTGCTGCTTGTGCCAAGGTCAGTTTTGAAGCACCACAACTGTTTCCAGATATTTCTTATTCTAAGAGAAGTGTGGAGCTGCATGGGAACACCTCTGTGCTCAGAAAAGAACTGTGATATGTACACGCTTTGGTACAGCACCGCAAAGCTTTGTTCAGAGCATGATCTTCACCTGTGCCCCCAAGAAAGCCTGTATTTAAAACCTGCACTGCACTACGACAGTCAGCCTCAGCCACAAGCCCTGGCAGCAGAGGTGGTTAGCTAGCAACACCCAGCAAGGTCAACATCTGCTACACAGAGCTGCCACTGAGGCCAGCACCAGTTCATTAGTGACAAGATGAGAATGAAGTGCTGTTGGATGCACCATAGAGGAGAAGGAATTATTCAAATTGGCCTCAGGGCCAAGGATTCCCTCTGCTCACAGCTGAGCTTTTGAGGACAGTGTGATGCTACAGCTCCTGGGTGGCCAAAGTCCTGAGCAACCTGTTCTGATCTCATGGCCAAGCCTACTTTGAGCTGGGGGCTGCACTATGACACCCTGAGGTCCCTTGCAAACCGCATTATTTGATGACTGTAGCCTTCAAGCCCACGTCCTGTGCTTTTGGTCATTACTGTTCTTATTCACTGATGCTAAAGAAGTGGAAGACTGTTATCAAGTGCTATACCAGATCTGCTTTGCTGTAAATCAACCAAGCCAGGCCTCCACCTCCTTCCTGGTGGCAGCCAGTCTGCTCCATGGATGACTGTGGTAAAGCACCCAGACCTATGAGCTCAGGGAATCAGAAGGACCCTGAGGTCACCTCACCCTCTGCAGACACCCATGGTGGCACAGGTTGTTGTGGTGCCTCATTATCCCAGCTTTGTGCACATGTCCCAGAGCAAGGCACTGACACCAACCATGGAAAGCATTGCTCCCACTGGCTGGTTCCTGTGGCTCAGAGTCTCACAGCGAACAGTGTGTGTGAGCTTATGTTTGAATCCATCAGGCTCAGACCTTCAGACACCAGTGGCCACTGTGTGTATTTCAACGAGGTTACGGAGCCCTTCCCACCCTGTGCAGAGGTGTGCCCAGTCTGTAAACAACTCACCACCTCCTTGCAGTAAACAAAGCAGGCTGAGCTATTTCAGTTTCTAACTGCAAAACATCTGCTCCAGCCCTTGAATGCTTTTTAGCATCTTTTTCTCAACCTCTTCTGATTTCTCAACTTCCTTTCTAAATTATGGAAACCAAAATTAGAAAGAGCCCCTTTCCCAGTCTCACCAGCAACACATGCACAGGCCAATTGATTCCCTGCTCTGAGTCACTGCTCTCCTGGTTTATATAACCAAGGCTTGCTCCAGCCAATTGTGCCACAGCCTTGCTACAAAGCAGCGATCTTGGGGCTGTGATCCCTCCATCGTTTCCCCTGCTCTGGGCTCATGCAGGTCCCATCCCTCAATCTGGCAGCCTGGCTACTGCACCCAGTCACAGACCTCCACATTTAGCTGTATTCAGATGTACTCAGGATGCATGTATTCAAATTGGGATGTATTCAAATGTGCAGCAAGCAGGCCACGCAGACTGCTATCTTCATCATCCACAAATTTAACAGCAGTTACTTCAAATTCACTTCCTGATCAGCAATGAAAATGTCAAGTTACAAGTATCTAAGTTTAGGAGCTCTCGCAGTTAACTAGCTCCATCCCATTCATCCTATGATCTGCTGATACTGGGGGCCAATCTTTTTTTCTAATGTTATTATTCAATATGAAATCAAACATGTTTTTCAAGAATCCATTTTTTTTTAAAGTGGTTCTAAAGGGAAAGGTTACTCAGTCTAAAAATAAATGTTCCACTTTGATCTGCAGCTTTAGAAAAGAAAACCAAGTTTCCGCTTTAATTTTAAAAAGCAAAACTACTTTCAGAAAGTCATTTCAATCTGAAATATCATGAAGTATTGATACAGCATCTTAAGATGCCAGATGAATGGCCTGGTTGCTGCCAGCTTCATCATTTTTTTGTTGAGTCCTGGCACACAGTCAGGAGGGGTGTCATGGAATGAGGGCTGGTTTGGGGGCAGGGGCTTGGATCAACAGACAGTGTTAGCATGGGCTTATCCCCTGCAGGTAAGTTCAACACACTGCTATGGGAAGGAGACCCCAGCTTCACACTGCTGCTTTCTTCTCAGAAAGAGAGGTGAGGCACGGCACAGGCTGCCAGGGAGGTGGTGGAGTCACCATCTCTGCAGGAGCTCAAGAACTGTGGAGATGTGGCACTGAGGGATGCAGTATTGGTGGAAGATGGATGATTAGACTAGAGATCTTAGAGATTTTTTCCAACCTTTATGATTCCACGGTTCTACAAACCCAGCACTCCTGCACCACAAAAAGGTTATTTTCGTGGGGTTTTCTGTTTGTGTTCATTCTGGTTTTTTTGTTTTTTGTTTTTTTTTTAAGCCAGGCATGAGAGGAGCGTTGTTTCAAAGTTGTGTGGATGTGGAAACAAAACAAAACGGAACCCTGCAGATTTCCAGTGTGAGTGAGTGTGAGAGACAAAGGCTCTTAGCAAGGAAACCACGACTCTCTTCATCTCGGCGTTGGTCTTAGAAATACTGTAAGGAAACGTAACTTCAACTAACAAATTGGCTTGACATGTCCCATTAAGAACATAAATCGCAACGTGGGGAACTGTGGGTAATTCTCTGCCTTCTGTTTTCCTGGTTGTACTGTAAACTATTCTCAAAATACGAAGGAGTGCCAAAAATGACATGCCATTAGTGCATCCAGGAGGACCTCATTTACATCCCATTACCCGCCACGCCAAGAGCTGCTATTGCTGCACATTCCGAGCGGGACCAGGGCTGCCTGGCAGAGGAGAGGCTGGGGAGGCAGCGCCGTGCCTGCCGACTGCTGATGCCATGGGACCTCTTTTATGAAAAAAGCAATTCTCTGATAATCACCACTGAAGCTGCATCATCATTACTGTGAGATCTGCTGCTCTGGACCTCTCCTGTGGGGATACTGCAGTGCATTTTTATGAGGGAGTGCCGGACCTCCCTTGGCCAGAATGATCAGGAAGGCTTTTCATGGGAGTCCAAGGAAAATCCAGGTGGGGAGGAGATGTGGGCTCTGCTCCCTCCTCCTGCAAAAAACAGGCTTAGCCAACACTGAGGGCACCTTCCCAGGGCTATCTGAGGGCTGAGATAGCCTTCTCCATCCTCCCAAAAGTGAGAGTAATTTTATGTGCCTAGCCTGCTGCCGGGGCTCCATTTTCCTGAGCATTTTACCCTGGGGATGGAGTTTGGATGAGGGAGCCCAGTCCTGCCCAAAGGGGCATCCTTGGGAATGGGTGGCCTTAAAAGCCCTGGGAGGCAGCCCAGGGGTGGGAGGGGTGGCTTGTTTGGGTCAGCATTGCATGGCATACGCACAGCTCTCAATCTCCAACGTGCAGTTCTGCTGGTCCAGGGGGTACCTCCGTAGGTCCATCATGCAGGCAGCCGTGGTGGTGATCCTGAAAGAAGATGAGAGAAAGAAAAAATTACAATAATGATTCTTTTTTAAAAAGGAGAAATGAAAGGCAGATGTGAAAGTCGGGCAGCATTTGGGGCCGCTGTTTCCCTGGAAACCAGAGAGAGCCACGGTGGGAGGGCAGAGGGAGGTGTGCGGGGGGCTGGATGCAGCTCACCCTCAACTGCATGGCTTACACCCTCCATGACTAACGTCAGCAAGGCAGCATCTCTATTAGCAGGGTGGGGAGGGATTGGTGTTCCTCCCCTGTCTCTCCAGGAGAAAGACAAAGAAACTGGGAGTAGGCAGAGCTATGAGAGGAGAGAGATGTCAGATTGTGAAAGAGAGGCTGAGGGCAAGTGTCCATAGAACAGAAAAGCATTGATCATATTGTCCTGCAGTGGCCTCTTCCTTCCCAAAATTGCCCCAAGAGCCGCACTGCAGCCCCCACCCATCGGTGCCCCTCCATCACACTCACTGCCCTCCTTCTCCTGCACTGTGTGCTGGTGACTCCACTAACAGATTCACTCCTGTGCAAGTGATTCCATGGTCAAGATTCACCTGACACGTGTGTACATGTGTGCATCCCCTAGGAAAATAAATTTAGGGAGAGAAAATGGGCAGGGGTTGTTTTTGGGGTGTCAGTGCCACGCATTACCTATGGAAGGTTTTCATGCGTGTGGGTGCATCTGTGTTACACGGTGCACACAAAGGAGCATTGCTTTCAGGGTTGGGGCATTTTGCAGTGGGGCAGGTCGGGTGCAGGCACAAAGCAGGGAGAGAGCAATTCAGCTGCTAACTGCCAGCCCAGAATTTAGCAGGCTGCCCCCATTTCTCAAATTTATTGCTCCCCTCACCCGTTAATGCAGTTGTCTTCCTGTGCAGTGTATGTGTGCAGAGTACTGAAAAGGGGGG